ATTTACAGGCAACATTTGCTGCTGAAAGCCAATCTTCTAATGCATTTTCCTGCCATTACAATTCAGTGTAAAGGTGTCTGGTTTCTACTTAGTGTTGGCACTTTTCCAGCATACAGTACATCTAGGCTAGTGGCATAAGCCCAGTGGGTATCACTTAAATAGGCCACCTCACCCTATGATACTGTAACAGCTAATCAACACACCCACTCTAATGAGGGCTAAGGGAGCTGTTGTGGCATTCGAAAGGGATGTATCGGTTTATCATCGTTTAAAAAAATCTTCGTTTCATAACATGGCCGGTTAAAGAATGAAACCTGCCCTGAGAGATTCGTCTCAGAAGTGATTTTAGTCTTCAATTCATTCATATTCATCTGTCTCAGCCAAAATGCTGTTGTCATAGTCAACATCTCCAAGTTGGTCACCTGATGCTCTGAAATACAATCCCATGCAAAGACCCCTGGGACTCCACCTAACCCCCAGTCTGTCTGCCTGTCTGCATTTTTTGTCTGCTTTCCAAACAAATAAAACCTGTGTTTAGTGCTGTTTAGTGGAAATAATAATAATATATATATTATTATATATATATTCACAAAAACAGCTTTCCTTGAACAAAGAAATACAGATTTTGGTTTTATCTTGCACTTCAGTTACTCATATGAGGTTTGTTAACTGGACTTGTTAACAATCCCAATGACAGTCACAATATGGACGTCACCATTTATATCTCAGTGGGTGATAATCCCACTTTACTGAAGTATAGACTAGAGTAGAGGCTAGGAGTGTTCATTCCTGTCAAGCAACACACCAGGTTGAGGGTAAACTAACACAGAAATCTCCAGATGAGAGTGAGAACGCGAGCTACAGGCTGCTAAACACGTGAGCATGCCACTTGGACCGTAGTCCAGAGTCATCTCTCTTGCTTAGCCTGAGGCCTGTGGGGCTATATGGTTTCCACTCTGGCCAAAAATAACAGCAAGCATTGATATAGTAATGGGCTCTTCGGTCAGACAACCACCAGCAAGCAACCACCGGCAATTTTAGGCGCAACCATGGCTGATTACAAACTGTCTGGAATTGCAGGACATAAACATCCAGGGCACCTCTTGAGTTCGGCTCGCTCTTTTTCCTGCTCAGCTAGCTTCAGATTTTAACCTCTTGACTATACAGTTCCCCAATCTCAGCCCATGTAAGGTATTTAGAATATACACACACACACAAAACACGTCTTGTCTTACTTGTTATTACAAATAACAAATTGAGCCAAAATATCCCAGTAACTTAGCCGGTAAGCTATAAATACTAAAATAAAAACATGGGCAGTGTGTAGGCCTAGAGGCTGAACATCAATAGCATTCATACAGCAAAAAAGCAATATCAGTGGCTGAAAACATGCAGCACCGCGTGTTATCAGAGGGCATTACACAAAGATATGTCAACGTGTATCTGAATGTCACATATTCACACATTTTAAAGTAGTCTTAACACATGCTTAAAATTCGCCAAGACCTATGAAGAGAAAATGTAAAATTCAAAACTTGGGTGCAGCTAATGCGTATTTTCCTTATGGATAAATAAATACTGAGCCTGTTTTTTGAAACAGTTCAACATGTTTTAATATAGTTCATGTTGTGTGATTCCTTTTAGAAATACATTTTTGAGTTATATTTACAAGGTTGAGTGCAGTCGCTAAATAAGCTGCTGAACAAATGTAATGCAGTGTAACGTAATCATTTATGTATAATGTTATAAAACGGATTTCCCTGAGCCCTGTTTGACACAATTCAAATGCATTTTATGTCCTTACAACAACTTACACCAGCCACCATGCAAATGCTGGTAAGACATGAAAGCACGACGATTAATATTAAATGATGTTCACATTTTAAGAAGTTCATTCCCCACCCTGCCTACCAATAGCTCAAAACCCAAAGCTAAACTAGTAGAACACCTTTACTATCCTTCTTCACTTTGACTGAAGCCCTGCAGCCTCTAAAGATGGTTCTGGCCACCTATATGGCCCCTTAACAACCTCCCTTTGGGGACTCTCTGGGGTCTTGGTGGCAGGAGACCCCCTCAAAGGTTGACCCATGACCGGCTGGAGGTGTTACATGTCCCCTGAAAGTCATCCAGACTGAGCTGGAGGAAGTTGTTGGACCAAAAAGGACGCTTGTGCTGCTCTGTTGCCACGACAACCCCAACCACAATAAGCATTTGCACAATGGGTGACAGTGGGTGACTGTTAATCAGACAAACTTGCTAATGTCAGCACTGAATATGTGACATTCAAGGCCACAGCTTCAATGATGTTAAGCTGCATACCGTTATAATACGTTAGTCCATTTAACGGTGCAATGTCATTATGGTAGGCTTTAAAGGCAATGACAGGCGACGGGATAATTCAATTAATTCACAATTAACGACACTACCCAACCTTCCCTGTCTGGCTTCTTAGTTTAAAGCGTCTGTCAACATCTTGTAGCATTAAACGCTATGTGTTCTCCATCTCGGAGGATAGTTAGCCCGTCCTTACATTAACACCTCTTCGCCGCACCGACACAAAAACCAAATACTTCAACGTGAAACACAGTGTCCGCCGTGTCATTCACAAACACCGGTAACATTATTCTGCATCTGCGGTGACAGCTGAGCTAACGCTGGCTGCAGTGCAGTTGTTAGTCTGGTCCATGGCTGTCAAAACCGACCAAGCCCCTCCGCTTGTTGGCTGACAGCTCTCAGCAAAACACCCCCGTGGCTCGTTCACACGCGTATGAAGATAGGTTAAGATCTCTACTGTGTGCATAAAATACACCGCAGACATAGCAGTAAGTTACTGTATAAAAAAAGACACATAATACCCCGCGCCGATAAATGGTTTGCGTTACCTGTCCCGTCCCAGTGAGGTCTCCCTTGGACGTGAATATCATATCAACCGTCTCCTCTTTCCTCTTTCTTGTTCGTCTGCTTCAGTTTCAAACACTGACGCCAACCGGTGCCGCCATCATGTGTCGGGAGTGTGGACTGTCTTCATGTTTTTTTTTTTATTCATCTGTCTTTTATTTTTCAACTTTTATTTCTTTGGCACATAACAGTCCAGTGTGTGTTACATGGGAACAAGTATTTGTCCTCATACTCCAAAACCCATATTAAAATCATTAACGTCAAATTGAAAAACTTTTTTTTTTCTTCATAGAAATATTAAAATAATTGCAGATACTGAAAAAAAATATATTACAAAAACGGATATTTAAAAAGTCAATCCATTTATTTTACACATGGGTTTACTTGTCATGAGGTTATGTCCTCTGGAGGAAGCTTTCTCAACCTTGGTGATGTTGCATTATGGGAAATGTAGTATCCAGCGTTTTTGGACTTTCAGAATCAGAAATACTTTATTAATCCGAGGAGGAAGTTTGTTACAGTTGCTCAAGGTGCTTATACAATGTTAAAGAAGAGAAATAATAATTATATTACAATATATAGCCTAACACAATATGTATAGAATAGAAAATGTATAGGCTATTAGGTAGGCTATATACATAAAAGTACTGAATAAAACATAGAAATATAATAGTCTGAGTAAGCTATGTACTTTATAATAATACAATATATAGACAGAAGTAAATGTATGCCACAGTATTTGACAGACAGAAATGATATGAGTAATAGTAGTGATTTTTAAAGATTGCAGTATTACAGAAGTTACGTCAAAGTATGACGGAATAAGCCAGTGTATTGCACATTGACCTAAGTACCTTAATCAAATTATTACACAATTTGACATCAGGACATATGACCCCAGACCTTTCTCATTAATCTAGTCCCCCAACTTTACGGAATTGTATTAACCTACTAAATTAGAGTCACATTTGTAATTTGGTTGTTATCTAATGATAGCTTGTCTCTTTTATTCCCTAATAACAACACATATTTTTTCCTGTATCAGCTTACATATCAATTAATAGAAAAGAGAAATAAAACACATATAGGCCTACACATTTTAGAAGTTGCAACATTTAAAAAAGGAAGAGAAAATGAAAAACAAATCAACATAACTACAAGACAGAGGTTTAAACTGTTGATACGTCACATTTGATGGCATGGGTCACTTTTAGTCAGTGGCACTGGTTCCTCCTGGTGCCCGCATGTTGCAAGTGCCCTCTTGGATAGATTAAACAAGATAAAGTAGCTGCATTTCATCATATTGACCGTGATCCAATATGCAATAAAATGTGATAAAGTCTCTCCAGGGTGTCCTTTTAGTGGAAAAAATGCTATGCAGTGCCATTACTTTACCATAAATGCATCACAACCTCTGTGTGCACTCATGCATCTGGTGTCGTTTGTTTGTTTGTTTGTTTGTTTATGTCACTGCGCAGTTCTTTAGTGTTAGAAAGGTTAATAAAATGATAAAAGCAGCTAAGGGAACAGCTTTATTTTTTAGTGTTTGCCCATGTAGTCCATAATTATTTCATGTTCTTTTTTTTCTTTCTGCTTCTTGTATACGACCCTATGATGCCGTGTTAAATAAACATGTGCTTTTTATCTTTTATTTACTTTAGTTTCTCACTTTTCTTTAACTTTTTATCATTTACACAACCCAAATTCAAGAGGCTACCGTTCTTATGTGAGCCTACAAGATTTTAATTGAGCTGAAACTGATTTATCTCCTGTTGTGTTAAAACGTTGTCAATACAATTTCCAGTCATAGGATGTTGTGACTGAAAACATCCTATAACATAAAATGTAATGGTTCAAAGCCGAGCCAGTCACGTCAAACCTGATGCAATCGGAGGTTTGGGGGTTCCGTCACTCACCAAACACAATAACAAACCAAAGATAACTTATGACATCAGGTCACACGGATTTCAATTCCTGGATGGCGGTCCAGAGTAAATCCCACTTCCAAGCCGGATTTCTAAAAAGGGGGCTGACTGACAAAAAAAAAGGACAACAACACCGGAATGAGGAAATTGACGAGGGCAAGTCATGTGCAAAACAAAGTGGTTCACCGCAGATAACCATACAACCTGATGAACCAGAGGTCACTCCACTCAAGTCTTCCAGAGGTGGTCCTCTTCTCTTTCTCTCCCCGAGACCGCTCATCCTAAAAAAAAAAAAAAAGAAAAAGAAGAGAGAGAGAGAGATACAGCAGCTCTTTCCACAAGCCTCTCCGACCGCATCCAGTGATGTCTTTTCTCCTCATCACAGTGCTGTCTTCCCTCATAGTGCGAGATGCTGAGGCGTGGGGCGCCAATGTCAAGTACGCGGTGAACTGCCCCGACAGATGCAACGCGGAGCGGTGCGGCGGGACGCAGCGGTGCACACGGACGGTCCTGGATGACTGCGGCTGTTGCCAGGTCTGCGCAGCCGGCAGAGGGGAGCACTGTTACCGCACAGTGTCGGGGATGCACGGGGTAAAGTGCGGACCGGGATTATTCTGCGAGTTCTACAAGGATGAAGACGATTATGGGGACGAATATGGCATCTGCAAAGGTATGCTGGCGTTCAGTATTTTAATGTGCCTAGTGTGTGCTGTTTCTGCCTGTATGCTGCATTTTAAATGTGTGATCCCCTGCTGCACCAAATGCAGTGTCCCATTATGTTATAACTAGTCTTTTAGGCTCTATTTATTGAATTATAGCAGTGAATAAGCATTGGCATATAACCAGTTGTTATATGTACATACGCAGACCTGTGCATCCTTGTAATTATGAATTAACTTAATGATTAGCCCATTACAGGCTTGTTCTTTAAACATTCCTGCAACTATCAACTTGCAGTTTTTTTTTCTTTGGCCCATTTCTCTTTATCACTGATTATCATTATGTTGACTGTGAATAAGAGCCAGATCCTGTCAGGCACACTAACCCATTTTCCCTTGCTTGTTCTGTGAGACAAAGCAGACTACTCTAAAATAATGTTTTCTCTCTTTACAGACTGTCTGTATGGAACCTACGGGGTTGAGTGCCGCAAGACATGCAACTGCAAAGGTGGCATATGTGACAGGGAGACAGGCGCTTGTCTCAACCTCAAATTCTTTGCCAAAATCGCCAGCAAGCTCAAGACTGAGGCACAAGCAGGTAAAACATACTGAGACTTGTTAAGATAAAGATGGTAGCAGTCAAATGTCTCACCAAATTAAGTAAAAAAAACTCAATGAACTGACTGAAATAACAAATTCTTTCACTTGTATTTTCAGGGGGAGAGGTGGGCTCAGGAGAGGTCAGCACTGCCCAGAGCACAGATCAACACATAGACAGATCCACTGCTCCAAAGCGGCTCAACCCTCGCTGACAAGTGCTGACAAGACTGAATCTATTCAGTGTAAATGTAGCATTAACTTATAAATGAACTGAAAGATATATTTTGTTATGTTAAACGATGAAAAACTTTTTTACAGCATTTGGAAGTTTTATTTGGTTCTTGTTTGACACCATCATCTTTTCTAATGAAACATGCAGACTATGGTGTTTTCTTCATATTCTCTATCTCTCTTTATCTGTTTCTAGAGTAGATTCATTAAACGATCCTGTAGTCTTTAGCTTCAGTGTAGACCCGATTCTCTCACTTAGTGTGCCTTCATACATTACTGTTGAGAAAATGAGAGTTAATGTCACAAGTAACTGCCTTGCATTTGTTTTCAAACTGGATACAGCAATATTTTTCATGATTAACTGTAGTCCACTAAATATTTTGAAGTTTTCCATAATGATATTTTATGTGTACTGAGCAGACATGGGACATATAATGTATATGACACCAGCCAATGTAAAGAATGCTCTTACAATTAAACCAAAGTTATAACTGACTGTTGCCATTTGATTTTCATTGCATAATTTATCTCTTGACGTGATTAGCGATGCATCATTTGTCACAGTAGTTGCATTATCTTAAAACCCAGAGGAAAGGCTGGTGAGTGGTTTTATTATGCATTAATAATAATTACAAACTGCTTTAGGCAATTACATGCAAAGGTTGGTGGTATTTAAATATGTAAGTATGCAGTGGTTCTCCACCTGGGGTCCTTGAGGGGGTTCCCCCAGAAAAATAGGCAATATATTAATTTCACTATTATTTAATTGACAGATGAGAAAATGTATAATAATGACTATTCTCACTCAGTTTTAGGGGTCCTTGACACAGTTATGGTTGAGGTTGAGAACTGCTGCAGTAGATGATACCATTCAGTTGATTATACTGTAACTTATACATCTCTGTGTAGCTTAACAAATAAAGGTGCTGTAAAATAAAAGACACATTACAAACAAAGGGGGAAGACAAATAGTGATCAAATAGCCAAAGCAAAAGTGAGATCTTGCATTGATCTAAGGTTGTATCCTTGCTGGAGTTTCTTCAAGGAGATAATCTTTCATCTTATAAAATTCTTCCTCATGCTGAGTGTTTTTAGTACTATATACTTTGCTCCATAGTGTCCATTACTGTGAAGGCTTAGTTGTATGAATGCTGTAGAGACTGATGTCTGTCAGATAGATTCATTCTCTACAGAAGAACTCCAGATCTCTGTTACAGTGGCATGCCACATAAAATAATTCACAATTTTACCAGTCAATACATAAAACATGATTTCATATTGCAGACGAGTAAATTGAGAAAGTTTGAAAGCTTGGGGCAGTGGTTGAGACAAATGAGGCTCCGTCTTTTAATATCTTGTAATATCTACGTTGGAATAAATCTTAAACATGCGGGGGGTGATTGATGTGTTTTTTCTTACCCATGAATAAATAAAGTCAAATAAAATGCTCGCTGCCTTTGAGTTAGGATCCTGAAGACTTAAGAGGATCTCTGACATGTAAACTTCAGAACTTGCGTGTGCACTTTATACACTATTGCTAGAAGAATATGACATCCCTGTCTCTAAAATCTGGTTACCCAGACACTGTGGTCAATTCAATTCTGAATAGGAGCTCTGTGGAGAAAAGAGGAGGATACGTTGATATTCTCAGGATGTCATTAGAGGGATTTATTTATAGGAGGTGGGAAAAGCCTTTCCGAACAGTGTAAAAATGCTAAGAAGTCTGGGGAGAAGTATGTCTTTTGAGTAAAAGGAATTCTCGTTTCCCATGATGATATAAGATGATATATCCAAACCGAGGAGCAGAAAGTGCTGAGAATTTTTCAGGCATCTTTGACTCTTAAGTCGAGGAACGCCCTACTTTCTTAACTTCCACAAATGGCAAAATATTCTTTGTTCCCATGAAGAAAACATTTCTTGGTCATGGAAAAATATTCATAGCATGAGAAGAACTGAAGAGCCAAGCCGATGTTTACTGGCTTTACAAAGGATTTGTCATTGATAGAGTTTCTATACTTATGCAGCTACATGGAGAAACTTCTCAATGTAGTTTTGCCAATAAAGCTGCACTAAAACATCCACTGATATGGGAGTCGCATTAGTCACGATGGGAGAAAAAAAGTCAGGAATGAAAATGGTTTAAATGTTGAGATACTGTATGATCTTTCTTGAGAAATACATATATATATTTTCCTTCCTGGGGGAAAACATTCATAAAAGTCTTTTAAGTCCTTTCTCTGCCTTTTCAACTTAGTAGAACTGAAATTAATAATTTTCCTGAGTGAGGAAATATCTTCATATTGTGAGTGGCATGCCAATTTTTAATGCTACTTTACCCAAAGAAAGAATAAAATGTTCTTGACTCTTTATAAAGAATATAGCCTTCCCAGAATATTTGATAAAGCTTTAAATTTTTTCAAAGCCTCAAATCCTTTGATTATTTTCCACAGACTGCCTTTGAAATGCAAAACAAGTAGGTTTAATTTGAATTTAAATGTGTCAACTAGTAAATCATGTTGTATTACAATGAATATATTAATCAAGCATGCATTTAGCATTGAGTTCTGATAAATCCTAGTACCTTTTGTGAATGAAATATATTGCAATTAGTCTTTATTTTATTAATTTTATTAGTCTTTTTTTCTTTTTTAGAATGAAACTGCAGGTAATTCATGATCAAACATGTGAACAAGTGACCCCTTCACCACAGGAAAATGCTTTTTCTTTCAAGTCCTATTTAAATATGTGACCAGGCAGCATTAATGTGCAAAATGTCCAATGGAGATCAAAATTATAACAAACATTTTGGCAACAACTGCAAAATAATCCTGTCCCAGCTAAAAATATCTCTTATTAGCCTCACCTCTGGCTCTTACTGGTACAAAAAAAATGTTTTCCAGTATTCAGCTTGTTTATTTCCTGTGCTTCCTGACACCTGTGAAAATGGCCCTTCTTCCTGTTGTTGTTGTGTCTGCCCAGGACAGGAATTTAAAAGCAAGCGTTTTTTTCAAAAAGCTTGGCATTAATACGTGACACACAACTGCCCTTGTTCGGAGTTAGAAGAGGACACTTCCTGTCTGCTTTGTTCAATTATTATTTAAATGAAAGCCCATCACATAAAAACCCATCATCAAACTATATGAAATAGGGTAAACTGTAATGTACTAACAAATATGAGTGTAGTGTGCAATATTCTATAACTGTGATCAGCCTGATATCTTTAAAACATCTCTTCTATAAAAAAACCTTGGGAATTCAAGAATAAAAAATAAAATGTAACAATGAATGCAACACATTTTTTTGTGCTTTAAAACTGCAAAATCTTTCAGCTGCAGCATCAAACTTTGAATTATTGCAGATCATTTTTCTTCTTCTCATTTTGTTGTTTAATTCCAATAATTATGAATTATAACCATCAATGTACAGTCTAATTAATTTCATGTTCTTCACAGTTTTGTATGATCGAGTAATCGCCATAAAGGATAAAGGTCCCAGAAAAAGACACAAATTCACTGCTGGGATGTATCTCCTCAATCCAAGGACAAGGTGACACACACACACGCACACACACACAAACAGTGATACGGACAGGTATGGGAGCCGTGTGTGTGAGGAGTGTTCATAAGTGCTTGGGCTCGAATGTTCCTCTCATTCCCCTGAGAACCAACAGGCCGAGGCCTCGCAACCAAACAAAGGACCCTGGAAAATAACAGGAAAGAGTTGGTGAGAAATACCCTTTATCTGACTCCCTGAACACGTCACTGCCGCCTCCACAGAAACAAAGGTGCGTGAACGGAGTAGTAAATAACACTGATTTACTGCAAATAGATGTTCTGGTATTTACACTTTGGCCCTGCCTCAACAGGTTGTTTATGGTAGCTGTAGAATGACAAGGCTTATTGGAGACAACACATAAACACTGTGAACAAGGAAATTAAGTGATGAGATTGATTACACTGATAGCAGATATCAAAACTGAGCACTTTAACTCACCACAGGCTGTCATGTCACTTGATTCAAAATGGGTCCCAGTCTGATTAATTAATTCTTTGACTCCTTAAATCCAGGATTACCCCTCCTTTCTCAGAAACATCTTGCAGTTAACTGGCAAACAAGCATCTGGAGCCTTGACCTCAGCGACCTGACAGATTTCTGACCCCTGGACTGACTTTTTATTGTCAGTGTGACGTGAGGAGGAACATGTCCCAACAGATTTATTATCACACCTCATGAAAGGGTTATGTTACTTATAGTAGCAAGCCAAAAACTAGATCAAAATGTTCTGTCAGGTAGTGTCATGTAATAGTGCTACTTTAAAGACTATTAGTATTAATAATCTGCTTGGAAGAATAATGCGTGTCTGCAAAAAGTTTTCCTGCTGGACACAAGATGTGTCCTACTTCACTGTAAAGTTCATTGTCAGTGTATGTGCATTGGTGACTTCAAGTTTATACATCACATTAGTATACAGTAAGTTGGATACTGGATCAGGACTAGCTTCAAGACTATTTGTGATGTCACAAAACATGCTCGTAGGCATGCCACTTAAAATCTGATTTTCAATGAGCACAGAGAAAATTCCACTTTCAGTAGATGAATGTGAAAAAGTCCTTCTGGTGTCAGATTCTGCACATACATCATTCTGCACAGTGAAGCTCATAAATCCAACTGTAGGAACAAGAAGACAAACAGATTTGTGAGGAGATGGGAACTTTGATTGTGGTTTTATATTTAGTTTGAGCACTGTGTTTGGCTTAAAGAGTCCGTTTGGGGACTATTTTTCTGCTTCTCTATGCATCACAAATAGCATAAATACTTTTCTTTTTACCAGCCCTCATACCAGAATCTTTTGTCCATACACAATGAATATAAGGTACTTGTTCATTTCAGAAAACACACGATTTAATACAAAAGGAGTTGACCGTGCTGTTCACAATGCAATGAGGGGATGAAATTGTCACACCCATCTGGGTGATTCAGATTAAATTACAGTAGGGCTTTGTTGTGTGTGTACAGTATATCACGAGCAAACGCTGCAGTGCTGGATGACTAAGACATTATTTATTAATAATTAATCATTATTTATTGAAGAAGGTGTTAAGCAGAGACAGTGATTGTTCGTGTTTTGGATATGGAACTTCAGAGGGAAGGTAGAGCATTTTAGATGTAGCTGCTGATGTGACTATTATGATGTAAAAAAAAAACAATATATGGTAACTATAGTTCTTTAATTTCACTCTATGATACAATTTGTATATCTGGGTTATCTTACTACACTACTTGCAGCTGTATATTTGGTGACTTTTTTGTGACACATGGACCTCTGGTGGCTCCTTGATGGTACTGTATCATACAGTTATTTTGTATTTATTTGCCATTCAGTTTATCCTGAAACTCTGACAAATACTGCAATATGAGATTGTACTTTGATTGTCTTAATAATGTCTGTCTATTTGTAATTAGTCTGATAGAAACTTTACAGCATTAAC